CTGGACTCTGGGGTTAGAACTTCAGGGAACTCAGACCCCACAGTCTATGGCTTCTTCTCAATCCCTCCCACACCCCAACTCGACCCCCCTCACCTTGCCAAAATCAGAGAGGAGACAGAAGACAGCAGAAGGTCCAGGGTGGTGGCACTGGTGTGGTGTGACTTGGGTTTCTGAGCAGCGCTGAGGCACCGTTGGGTCTAAAGTCAGGACTGAGTACTCTTACCAGCTCAACTATGGCCTTGCCTGTGTGCCAGACAGATCTTGGCGTTGGTGCCAGAGGGCAGCAGAGGCCACTCTCTGGCTGCCACTCTATCTCTGAAGTGGGTGTATGTATAGTGGGGGACTTCTCTGCCTCGCAGGTGACAGTCCCAGCCGTCCCCTTCCTCTAAGCTCTCAGCGCCGTAACAGGTCTACTTGCCACGGTGCGCCTTGCAGCTTGGCTCCCCACCTTTACAACTTGCTGTCCCATGTCCCAGACACCTCTCTGCCCTTTTCCCTTTTGAGCTGGGCAGGCATAAGGGCATCAGCCTGAGCACCTGACACTGACCCCTGGACCGCTGCTCAGGTTCAACAAGCTGGCTGTGGGCTCCGTGGTGGAAAGCGCCTTCCGGAGGCTGAAACACCTGCAGGTCTTGGACATTGAGGGCAACTTTGAGTTTGGTGACGTTTCCAAGGACCGGGGCCATATAGATGAAGAAGAAGAAGAAGACGAGGAGGAAGAGGAGGAGGAAGAGGAGACAGGATCGTAACGGAGTGACATAGATCTGACCCAGGTGGGTGGTCTCTGTGTCAACTTCACCCCGTCCTCTATTCTATCCCTTTATTTTGAAAACCTGTCCATTGGTTTTGCATGTAGGATTGCACCATGGGAGAGGTTGGTGTGTGTGGCATAGTGCCCATGGAAGCCAGTCTGCGCCCAAGGCATTCTAACAGGGGGATGAGTACGGTACTGGGAGATACCTGGGGTGCAGAGACTCCCACATCTGGGGCTCAGGGGCGAGGCCTGAGCTGGAGATGGGAGTAGTCGCTGTAGGCCTTGAGATAGGTATAGACACCGAGGGAGTTAGAAGAGCGTGTCCAGGACAGAGAGGGAGAGGGTAGCCATATAGGGAGTTTGCACACACTCATGTGTGCATGTGTGCATGCTTTCCTCCAGGACACAATCACAGGCAATAACAGGTACATATCTGTGTGAACAAGTGTGCACAGAGGAGTATCTATGGGTACCCATTCGCACAGGCTTACATATAGACACACATATACACACATACCTAGTACATGCATGGATTTCTCTAGAAGCAGGGGACTCAAGCTGCTTCAGTGCAAAGAGCTCGAGGGAGGTGGTCTCTGCTGAGCCTAAATGATGTGTCTATACAGTCCTGCGACTTCCTAGGGAACACCCGAGAAAGGCAGGGGTGGAGAGAATGTTTGGGAAGTCAATGAATATATCTGCTCTGGGGTAGCAAGAGCTGAGGGGATGGTAGAGGGAGGCCATGTAAAGCTTGCGAAGCCCGCTCTGCTTGGTGTTCCTTTTGGCACAGGTGGCATGGATGCTCGTGGGATATGCCGTGGAGGGAGGGCGGTGCAGGGAGGGGAGCGGGTATGAGGGCTGCGGTAGGGGTAGGGGTTTCAGAAGACTGTAACTGTCCCACTGTGGAAGGAGGGCCATGGAGCTGAGTGGCTGCAGTCACAGGCTGACTAGTGGCTTAGTGGCTGGATCTGAAGTCACATCAGCCCGAGATCATCCGCTTTCTGTCCATGCAGTGGAAGATGCCAAGCAGGGATTTGGATTCATCCATGGCTGCCTTTTTGGTTAGGGTTGTGGGTCCCGAAAGACAAGGAACAAGGAAATGGGATATTAACAGTCTCTGTCCTGGGGGCCAGACTTGGTGAGGAGGGGCAGGTGGAAGTGTTGTAGCAGAGATGTGGGGTGGGGGGTTGCTGAAACCTGGGCAGGTGATAGGGAGTATCCAGGCAGAGAGCAGTGGTCAGGGGGGATAGCTAAGGTTCCTTAGGATTTCAGAGAATGTATTAAGGGCTGTGAAGTCAGGGTGTGGCCATAGGAGGAGGCTGCTGGTCATGGCCACAGTTAGGATGCTGACTTGAAGTAGGGCTTGGAGCTGAGAGGAACTGGTGGTGGGGGGTTATTGATGGGGGTGACAGCTGTGAGGATGGATGATGGGAACAGGGTACACCTATGACAGAAAGCATGGCAGGGTTGTAAGCATAGGGGGGCAGATCCAGCTACCAGGGACAGCTGTGGAGGTAGAGTCCTTGTCCTAAGGTACCGTCCTTAAAAGTCAGGGGTCAGCGGGAAAGGATAATTGCTATCCCACGAGGACTCTCTGGGGTTAAGGAGAATCTTCCCCCTTTGTGGAATGTTGGCCATAGCCAAGCCAACCGAGTGGAATGCTGGGAGAAGTCCCAGAGAGTTCTGGATTCAAGCAGGGCACCTCCCCATCCCCATTCACAGTAGCCTAGCTTCCAATCCCCGCCTCCCCCCCTTCCCCCGGTTCATTTCATCCAAAGCTGTTTGGAGCTAGCCCTGACTCTACAATGTGTTCCACAGGACGATGGACCACCGGACTCCTTCTGCAGCCCAGGCCTGTGCCCCACGAGCGTCCCCTTCTGACACACCCAACGCTGAGCCCAAGGGGCATCCGAATGCCACAGGCTAAACACAATCTCCTGTCCCACCTCTTCCTGTAATATGCTACACAATCAGACACAAGCAGATACCACACCCCCAGCCTGGCCACACAGGCACACAAATAGCCAGCTGCACATGACCTTCCAGACTGGCTGACTTCACGGTCCCACACCAACACACACACACACACACACCATACACCCTGACCTCTGAGTCCACACTGGCCTGGTACACTCAGGCAACTGCTCTCTCCCCAATTTACATAAAGAGTGACCTATGCCACCGAAAGTTCCTGCTTCTGGCCAGCTCTGGCCGTTAACAGTTGGCCATGTGCCTTGTCCTCTGTTGTCTCTCCCTTGGAGACTCCAGTTGTCTCCTTGTTCATGGCCAGGTGCTTTCTCCCTCTGAGACTCACAAAAGCTGGCTTTTGTTTTGTGCCTTCCCTCTGGGGATGCGAACCTTCTAACTTCTACCATGGCCTTGCCCCCTCCCCAGGTGCTGGGGCAGTCCCACCACAGGGAGCCCCCTTTTTGCTGTGCCCTGGCAGGCCACAGGCACTTTCTGAGGACATTCTCAAGAAGGAGGGGGAGGGAAAGGAGGCAGCTGTGCTTGATGGGGGTTGGGGGGGTGGCAGCTGCGTTGGTCTTCAGTTCTGCAGGAAAGTTCTGGGTACCTTTGGTTTTGTTTAAGAAGGAAAATATATAAAGATAAAAGTCTCAAAGCTGATTTTTCCTGTTACAGAAAAACTAATATAAAGTATTACCCCTGCCCTTGCAGCCATGTTGTGTCTGTGTGTGCTTCCCTCAGGAGCTGGACTGGCCTCTGCTCAGGGTGGGTGAGAGATCCAACAAGCAATACCCCTGACCAGCAAGAATGAGGGCTGGGGCTAGGCCTGAGGGGCCCCCACAGGAGCGGGGCAGAGAGAGGAGGGATAGGACATAGCAAGGCGGGAAGGCTTGGCAGATGCACTCTCAGGGGGTGGAAATCTGCTTTTAGAGTCAGACAGGGAACAGGCCTGTCCATTCCCCCTGCTCCCCCAAGCTGAGCCCCCAGGCAGAAGATCCACCTGAAGAGTCACCTTCGCCACCTTCGCAGGGAGGTGGTGTTGCTGGGGTTCCTGATGTGGTCTGTGGTAGGGAAGAGGCAGAAGGCAGGTCCGAGAGCTCGTGTAGAGCTGACATGAGGCCAGTCTCTTTAAGCATTCCCAGGGAAGAGGTGAGGGACATGTCCAATATACCACCCCACTGTGGGCAGAGCTTGGCTTGGGCAGAAAGCTGTAGGGAGGCTGTACCTAGCTGCCATATGGAGCTCGGTGACTATATAGGGATCTCCTGAACTGGAGGTGTGTGGGTACAAGCCTGTCAAGTTCATCAAAATACAGACTCCTGCTTGTGGCTAGCCGGGCAAGGCAGCTGATTCCTCAAAGGCCTTAAGAGGTGACTCGGGGAAGGTCAAATGAGCCCATCTACGTGAAGGGAAAAGTAACTGGTTGGACAGCTGCTCTGTCTCAGGCGATCAGGAGTCAGCTGTGGAAAGACAGCTAGGCAGACCCATGAGAGGACCACAAAGAGTGGGAAGGTGTGTACTTGGAGCTGAGGTCCTTCCTGGGTCTTTACACTCAGGGAAGGAAGGTAGAGTTCAAGGGTGAGGGTCCTGACCCTTGAGTGGCCTTGGGGAGGCCTGTCTCCTCCCTTGGTCCCAGTGTCCTCTTGGGCCTGGTATACTATCCCTCAAGACCCCAGAGTTATACCTCGTTACCCCACACTTAACTCCAATCCCAGCTACAACAGATTGTGTGGCCAGCACCCTTCTCTGTGCCTTAGGCTTTTGAACTAGGTCTTTCTCGAAGGCAAAGTATTAGCTACCAAGGGCAGGCTTTGACTGAGATTTTCCTTTTCTGGGGTCTGATTACAGAACCAGAGCCCAGACAAGGCTAATCAAGGTAAGAAGGTCTGAACATAACTGTCTTGGGAAAGGCCCAATCAGGCCTACTGAGGTGGCCTGGGGTGGGCTTGTTTATACCTGTCTCCCACAGGTGATGGCTCATACAGGCTTGTCCTCACTGTGGCCACCAGGACTGGCTGATCTGTGCCCTGTCAGCTTGCGTTAGCTCAACAAAGAAGGTCTACCTAAAAGTCTGGTCTCAACTAGAGAGTATGGCTCAGGCCTTATCATCTCAGCATTTGGAAAGGCATGGGCAGGAGAGTGGCTACTAACACAGTCTACATAATAGGTGGCCAGTACTGCATAACAAGACTCTGTCCCAAAACAAAACACCACCAGCACACAGTCTGTTATAGCCACAAGACTTGAAAAAAAAAAAAAAACAAGGACTTTTATTTATCACGTTATTGCAAACACAGAAGGGACCAGTAACTCCCATTCCTCTTTGCCACACAAGCCTTACGGAGTTCGGACCCCAAGTCACTTGGCCAGAGAATCCCAGCCGGGCTTCCCTCCTTGTGGCCGGCCCATCTTGTCCACCTGTCCCATGGGAGGCTGGCTGGGCTGTACCCATGGGTCCTTCCAGCTCTAGTGGACATCGGTCTCCACATTAGATGAGAGATCTGGGGGACAGAAATGGACAAGGCGGTGGCACACGGAAGCCGCCAGGTCTCAGCGCTGGGATGCGCCGGCCCTTGTTGGGAGTGTTGGGGTGAAACCACATGCTGTCGGGTGGAGGAACGGTTGACCTGGGACAGAAACAGGGACGCTGTTGTTGTATCTCCATGAGTTGCACACAGTGGTAGCTGTGAGGACGCTGGAGAGGGCATAGCCTCTTTTGCTGGTCCTTGCAGGCTGCCTTGTCCACTAGATGGGAGTAGCCGAGGCTCCAAAGACTTGAGTTAACATCCTGGCCCTGATGTTGCTTTTAGTGAGTGGTTGTAGCTCTCAGACCCCAAAACTGTTCCTCCATGAGGTAGCGGCAAAGACCCCTCCCTGCCAGATGCTTTTGTGAGCTCATGCAGTAGAAACTGTCACAGCTAGGTCTTGAGCCACACGAGCCGGTAGCTGCTGGCTGGGGCTCCCGCATGCTATCATCTCTTTTCTGAGACAATTTCTCATCAATGGCTGACGAGCCCATCAGGTGGAACTTGAGCTGGGCTTCGCCAACTTCTCAGGTGTAGTTTGAGTTCAGCGCCCCAGGGTCTGGCCTGGCTCTGCAGCCCTGGGAGCTCACACATTGGTCTCCAGCTCGCTGATCTCAATGGTGCAGTGGTCTAGGCTGGTCGTGGCCAGCTCTTCATCCTGCTCTACCTGGACTGGGATGTGGTGGGGGCACATGGGGCCGAGGGTTAGTTCCGAGGCCTCGGCCACACTCTTCACACAGCCGTTCTGCTGGGCGGCCACGATCTCCTGCAGTGTCACTGGCTTGGTCTCGCAGGGTAGCAGTGTCTGGAGAGGAAGCGAGCCTTGTTAGCATGAGGAGGAGAGACGGAGGGTATGTAGTGCTGAGCATTCTCAGGGACCGGGAGCCACGGAAAGGGATTTTCCTATAAACACGGCTGGGTAGCCTTGGCAGGGCTCGGGCCTCTCTGGGTACCAGTTTGCAAGCTGCCTTGCCTCCTGCCTCCTATTTTGGTAGATCAGGGACTTGCCCCCCAGAATCCAATTGGGGAACAGTAGACCCTCTGCCTGAACTTCAGTGTCCTTCCAGGGAAGTGGGTACAGCCAACTGCACACACCAGCAACCCTGAATACCAGACAGTTCCCAGCATCCTGCGCGAGGGATTGGGTTTCTCAGAGGGAAGATGGGCTGGGTTTTTCCTGCTTCACTGGCTACATCTGGGCACTCTGTCAGGTCCACCATGAAACCTGTATTCCCACCTGACTCTATCTCTTCGAGGCTTCCTGAGGGGACGCGGCTCTCACCTCAGTGCCCGTGTTCTGAGCAAAATCCTTCCGGCAGATGTGGGCCATGATCCCCGCCGCCAGTGCATCACCCAGCACGTTAATCATGGTACGGAAGCGGTCCCTGGCAAGCCAAGGTGGCAGTGAGCGGCAACAACCTCAACAAGGAAGTGGTAGAGGGCCACACTCGACTGGAAAGTGAGGCCACGGCACAGAAGCTCGGGCAGTGACTACAGACAGGGAAGCACCCAACCCACCCTCAGTGGTGCCTAAGCAGCTGAGGAGGCCCCTTCCTGATCATAGGCCCAGTGTAGAGAGGCCAGACTTGGGGTCACTATCTAGAATGTCTTTAGGGAATTCAAGAGGACTCTGTCTTGACTTTTGAACTCTGAGACCCTAAGTCACACAACCGAGCTGGTGTGGATTATTGGGGCACCCCAGTCCCCTTCCTTCCGATCTCAGCAAGGGTAAGGCTGGGTAAGGACAGAACAAAGCACTCACAGGGCCCAGTCCACGGCGATGATGAGGTTGATGTCATCAGTGGGTAGTCCCACAGAGGTGAGCACAATGACCATGGTGACGAGCCCTGCCTGGGGGATGCCAGCCGCCCCGATGCTGGCCGCAGTGGCTGTGATGCTGCAGAGGGAGAAGGGTGTAGCAGCCCTGGCTCCTAGACCAGAACGCTAGGGCCTCAGGGCCGGCCAAGGCATGGGGACCACCATGAGTATCACACTGGGGGTTCCCAGAGAAACGTATGTCTGCTCACAGTCTTCAGCCCATGGGTTCTCATCCCTGTTCTTGGGGGAATTGGAATAAGCTAGGAAACTGCTGTGGGGCAAAGGCACTCGGATTCTGATGGTCTATAGCACCGCTCCACCCCAGCCTCGCCCTGGGCCTGGGTCAGAACTGGGTGCTGGGACTGGAGGCCACCTCGGGCTTTGACCCATGACAGCAGCTCACATTTGACATGAGCCCCTCTGGTCCTCGGGCCTGGCCCTTTCCTCTGCTCCTCCTGGTCCCAGGGATCAGGCTTACCCTAGCGCCAGTCCTGCCTATCCTTGCAGACCCAGGGGCCCTCTGGAGTGTGGCATTAGTACACACCTGATCGTGATGATCTGGCCGAAGTCGAGCTCGTAATTGTTGACCTGGGCAATAAATATGGCAGCCACAGCCTCGTAGAGCGCTGTGCCGTCCATGTTGATGGTGGCGCCCACAGGCAGCACGAAGCGAGCGACACGCCGGTCAATGTGATTGTTCTCCAGGAGGCACTTGAAGGTGATGGGCAGTGTGGCTGAGCTACGGGCAGAGGGCCAGGTGTCTGCCCACCACCCTCCTCCAGGTCACTACAGGAGGGTCAGCTCACTGATGCCCTGACGGAAATGTGGGGCATACATGTCGGTCAGCTTGAGCCGCTAGGAGTGACCCCAGGAAGAGCACCACTGTGTACTAGGCTTTGGGAGGTCCTTTCCTTCATCTTCCCTGGGGAGGGATACCAAGTGTGTCTATAGTGGTACCGCATGGAGGCTGTACCCGAGTGCCTGGGCCTTGAATCCAGCCCCCCCACCATGGCGCCTCAGCAAGGCCTGTAACCCGGGCACCTTGGTTTCTGTTATACACCACTCCCAGGCCACAGGGTGACTGCAAGCTCAAGCCATGCAGGGCTTAGAGAACACCGGCTGTCAAATTGCTGAGCAAGGGCTTCTGCTGCAGGGGTGGGGCTGCCTCTGACAGGGTTGGAACTTGGCACTGTCTGAGAGACTGAGGCCCAGACAAGAAAGGTCAGGGCTGTAAGGAGCAGTAGACCTTTGACCCTGAAAGATGGGCTTGGGTCCCACAACTCCTTCCACATTGGACTTGTACACTTGGTCTCAGGAGAATATCACATCCTCCTAGGGCTAGATGACCATGATGATCGCTGCATGCCCCTCCTCCCTATCTCTGACTATCTCAGGTCCTCTGTGCTCAGCTGTGATAAGTCGTCCCCAAGACCAAGCTCAGGTTCACTGGCTGTACTGGCCTTCTCACCCCGGGGATTATCCCAGCCTCTGAAGCAATCCTGTACAGGTACAGATTATTCTGGTCCAGGTATGGGGCCACTCGGGCCTGAGGAGGCTAAATGACAGCCACCACCACACTGGCGTGCTTCACAGAACTGTGACTCCAGCCTTGGCCGTCCAGAGACGCTGCTGAGGTTGAAGCAGATTCTCCACCCTGGACATCCCACAGAGAGTAGACAGACAGAGGCCCTGTGGTGTCGGGGGACCTGCCCTGACAGAAGACATAGGCTGTGGAGTAAGGATGGGCCCTTCATGAAGACTGAAAAAGCTTTGGGACCACGGGCAAAGGAAGGCCTAAGGGTAGGCAGAGTCTCGAGCACTAAGTCCCCATATGGTGATATCACCATGGCACTGTTCCCACCCCTGGGACATCCTGTGGTTCTGTGGCTGTAGATGAAGGTGGCTGGACAGACGGACAGAGAGAGTTTTGTTCGGCCCACCCCAACCCTCTCAGCTCTTCATCCGGGGCTACCTGGAGGAGGTGGCCAATGCAATCAGCAGAGCCTGGAGGACTCCACGGATGAAGACGATGGGGTTCTTCCTGGTGATGAGGAAGTAGAGCAGGGGCAGGATGAGGAGGCCATGGACCACCAACCCGCATACCACGGTCAAGGCATAGAAACCCAGCTTCTTCCCCACGGCCTTGGGGTCATCCATCTCCAGGATCTTTCCGGCGATCAGGAAGACAATGCCAAAGGGGAAGTACCTGGGGTGGCAGAGTGGCCTCAGGTGACAGGCCACCCCACCTGCCACCTTGTGATTTCATCTCAAGCCCCTAATGGTTCCTAAGAACTGAGCGAGTCTGTAACTGAGGTGCCCAGCTGAGAGGCAGGCCTGTGGCATCGCTGCACCCCAACCCTGGCACCTCTTTGCTAGCTCCACCCATGCCTCTGGGGACTTCAAATCCCACTTTAGCCCAGCAATGCCACATCTAGGTGAGCACAGACAGTCCTCTGCATGCACCACTGACTAGAAGGCTCCTAAGGTCAGAACTCCTAACTAGCATGGTTACTGGTTCTCACTTCCACTGTGTGCTCTCTCCAAAAACTGAGGCCAAGAGGATAGAAGACTAGGCTTGGGTGCACTGGGGACCCTACACACCAGCTAGCTCACCCGGGCCCAGGCTGACCCTCCTGTGCAGGTTGTTGAGCTCCTCAGAGAGCACTGAGCATGGGTTAGTGATAGGTCCCTCCCTGCGGACCCTCCCTGGGGGAAACTCACCATCCTGCAACTGCCACAATCTTCATGACTGACTCATTGAGACACTGGCAGAAGCTGACCAGGGGCGTCCCGCTGTCACCCATGCGACCCAGCATGATGCCTGCAGGGTCACACAGAGTCACGGGTGTACGGGGTCATGGTGCAGCTATGATGATAGCAAAGCAGGGACACATGGACACAGAGTTCTCTTGACAAGAACACATGGGGAGACTGCTCCTTGGGGTCAGCCCTGTGACAACACCACCACGTCACCATTCTAAGGAGCTCCACACTCTGAGACTGTCCCCCCCAAAGCTCTTCACGAGTCTCAGCAGCTCGGTGGCTTGCCAAGGAGGGAACCTTGGCATGTGGGACTCCAGAGAAGGGCTCTGTCACCTTGTGGGGAAGAGGCGAAGGAAGGCCTGCCTGTGTAAGCAGGAGAAGCCAGGGGTAGGGGTGACCCTGGGCCAGGCCTAGTCATCTGGCCTGTGACATCCTGGCAAAGGAGCGAGCTCACGCTCTCCAGCTCGGTCTGCCTTCTGGCTATTTCTGGCCCTCCTCACCATCCCTGGGATGTCTCCAGATGAAACTCTGGGCTAATTTAGATCTGGTGTGTACATAGGACACAGGTGTGACAATGAGTCACCCCACGGGCAAGGTGACCTGAGCACCAGCCATGTTCCCATACCAGGAAAGAACAGAAAGGACACAGGGTGAAGGACTGGAGCCTTGATTAGGGCAGCTGTGCATAGTGCTACGGATAGGCAAAGGTGAGGGCACTCTCGGGCTCTCACAGGAGTGGGCACACTAAGTGTGCTTGTAGGAGTGGGCGCACTACGGTGGGCTAGTGCTGATTGAGCACACAAGCACAAAGTCACAGCAATACCCAGTTACACTGCCCAGGGAACACTGAGAGAGTCTCCGACATTTCTTTTGCTCTGCTACCAGGTATCCTTCATCAGTTGCATCCCTCAGAGAGGCTGTGGCTGGAGGGGAAGAGCACAGAGTCCAGTGCCAGTCTCAGGCCTTTAGCCCTTTATGTGCCTGGCATTTTGGCCAAGGCAGTCGGAGCTTTGCTGTCTGTCATTGCCCACACACTCAGTCATTGTCCGAGCATCTCTTTAGCAGGTTTCGCCGAGCCCTGTCCTTGCTCGGCACATGGAGGCTCAGGCAAACAGACTGTACGCCAGGCAGGTGATGCTGAGCCACCCAACCCAGCTTCAGTGCCACCCCACACAAACAGTGACTAATGCAACAGGCTCAGATGTTCACTGCGGAGCATCCCAAGCAGAGAAATCGTCACCTGGGCACCTGACTGCGTCCGGTAACAGCGGGGACAGGAAGACCTTGGTGAGGATGAGAGAGGTGGCGGGAGAAAGGACAGGAGTAGTGGGCTAAGGAGAGCAGAGGCCTGGACCACCGGACTGCAGGGAGATGGAGCAGCCCAGGATGCACCTCTGAGTTCTGCAGCCTCTAAAGCCCCGTTTAGCTTCTGTCCGAGTGCAGCCTGCAGAACAGGACCGGCTGGCTTCTTGATCCCAAGGACATACCAGAGGGGACAAGAGCACAGATGCAGGGGACTCTAGGCAAATGTTGCAGGATCCAGATGACCCCCCCTGGTGGTAGTAACGGTGGCAGGGGGTGGGTGGGGGGTCGGAGGCAGGCTGACAGAAGCTGGGTCGGGAATGTTCCTGAGGTCAGATAGCATGTGGCCCGGATGTCTCATGTACATAACAGGACGCTGAGCTTGCTATGTGAACATGAAATCCAGTAGAAAAGTCAGGGAAACAGGAGGCAGCCACGCCAGGGTTGATGCTGAATATATCTCCAGCCGTCCAGGGCTGGAGCTTCCCCAAGAAAGGGGTCCTGTGTGGGGAAATGGTGGGCAGCATTGCTGGTAGAAGATCATGAAATCTGAAGCTATACAATTTAGGGGGCTCTTTAAGAGCGAGAATGTAGGCTGGGTAGGCTTACACTTATGATCCCACTTGGCAGATGGAGGCACTAGGTCAGGAGTACAAGGCCATCCTCGGCTACAAAGTGAGTTTGAAGCCTTCGCAGGACACATGAGACATTACCTCCACCCCCCAGTTCCCCCAGAACTCTCAAACTATATTCATTGTATACATGTATGAAAATTTCAAAAGAAAAAGTTCAAAAACAAAACACAAGCAAACCTAAGAATATAAAACTACCCCCCACCACCTCAAAAAGAGATGCATGCCTTTGAAGGAACCCCAAGCCACGCCCTTAATAGCTTAAGTAAATAAAATCACTGTGGTTGGAGGGCCTTTGGGGACCCAGAAAATACATGCAAATGAAAATATGTGCTCAGGGACGTTCCCATGAGCCCCAGGAAATGACCAAATGGTTTGGAGAGAGAGGCAGCTGCAGAAAAGCCCACAGGTGAGATGAACATCTTAAACAGTGCCCATTCTCAGCCAGCTACCACCTCCTGACTTCAGTAAAAGGTTCAGGGACAGACTGCTGGGAAGGGCCTGAGGGCTGGAGAGAGGCTGAGAGGCAGACACCTGTGTGGGCAGATCAACCCCAGGGCAGGAGTTCTCAGCTAGAAGAAGGGCTTGGAACCACTTAGGTAGAGCAGGAAAGAGGGAGCTGGAAGATTTGAGGGGCACTCCCGGGAATGGTCACAGCACATACATACCCATGGTGGCCGAGAAGATGACAATGCCTAGCACATTCATGCCATCGCTGGTGCCCGGCTCAGACTTATAGACAATCTCAGGTGGGGGAGTCAGGTCCAGGGCGAAGTTCTGCACACGGGAGCCGTTGTCTTCCTGGACCCCATAGATGAGGATCCGCTGAGGCGGGGCCTCCCCTGAAGTCCTCTTTGGAGACTTGATAACGGGAGTGGTCTTGGTGCGGTACTGTTGGGGAGCATGCCAACCAGGAGGGAGTCAGCACCGTGCCAATACAGGAAACATCCTGAAGGCACACTGTATGCATTCCTGTCATGTGGGCGTCAATGGATTGTCGAGAGACAGCCTGGTGAGCCGGGATGCAGGGATACACTGACTGCAGCTCCCTCCAGCTCTGTGTCACCTGATGCCCTTCACCCATCTACCCCCTCCTCTGCCAGCTTTGTCACCCGTCTTCCCGCTTCACGTACACCCGACAGCCTGACGCCCTGCTGTCCATTCGAAAGATCCAGAACATTCTCAGAGAAAGCTCCTAGGCCCTGGGCCTAGCTGATGAGACCCAAAGTCCTCCTCTGCCCAGCAGGACATTCCTAGGATTCACTCCCTCATTCCTCAGATTCTAGGAGCCCAAACAAGGGGGCAGCTGTCCCTTCAAACAGCACAGCATCAAGACGATAGGGCTTCTTGGGGGAAGGAGAGGAATCAATTCAGGAAATATATGGACCAAAAGTGCCCGGCTTCGTGCCCCTCGCCTATAAAAGGGAACCACAACTACATCTCCTTCATTGGATGAAGCAGCTCCTGGCACGTGGAAAGCCCACATGAGGTTTACTGCTACCAACAGCAGCACATACTGAACTGAACCAGACCCTTGGGGAAGAGAGCGATTAACAAATGGGTGGTATTTGACTTGGGTCTGGAAAGATGAGTAGTTTGCCAAAAGGAAAAGATTATAAAATAGAGTAACACACAACTGTAACCTCCGATAATTCACCACCACTAGGGCAGAATGCCCCTGCCTAGCTTTCAGGGCCCCCCGTCTCGTGGTGACTGTGTTCACAGATGACGGTTAAGATGTTGGTGACTTGCTTCAGCTTCACAGCTTCATTTAGGGTCCCCTTCCAGGCCCTTAGCCACCTGCTTTGGGACCCCAGACCAACACTCAGCTTGGCCGGGCGAAGGATCTGGGAAAGCACTAGCTGGGTTGATCTGGCACTTGGCAGACAGGAGAGGGGCAGAGATCGGGAAAGGAGCCCGAGTGAGGGCCAGATGTTTGGGAACATCTGCGTGACATGGAGAGGACAGACACTAAACAAGGGAGACCTACCTGGGGGTGCTCGTGACCCGGTGGGAGTGGGGCGGGGGACCCAAGATGCAAATTGAATGCCTGAAGTTCCTAATGTCAATTTAAACATGATCTAGAGAAGCAAGCCATCTGCGTCCACTGTTTCTAGATCTCGGACCTAGAGGTGATTTCCATGTGCTAACTGAAGGTGGGTGTTAAGTTGGGAGCGTAGCCTCCAGCCCCTGGCATCCATCTCAGCACCCCTGGCCTGGGAGTTTCATTGCTCTGGACTCCAAATCCCAGCATGCCAGGTCCTGTATTTAAGTGGGCTCCCAGGGGAGAAACACGTGGCTTTCTGGTCTACATGGCCTCCCTGCTTTTCTGTTTCCCCACCATGTTCTCGGCCACCTGAGAGCGTCATTCTTAATAAAATGATGGGCGTTTTGATTTGGTTTGATTCGACCTAATTGGATTTCTTGTGCCAGCGGAGCTGCCTCTTTCTTCTTATTTTTTACTTAACAGTGGGCTTTGTATATTTTTTCTTTATTATTTTTTTAGACAGAGTCTCATCTTGCCTAGGCTGCCCCAAGTTCCCCAAGTTCCAAGGATTACAAGTATATTATCAAATCTTGTTTATGCAGTGTTGGAATTCGAACCCAGGGCTTTGCACATGCTAGGAAAAACACTCTACCAACTACTGATCCACATTTCCCATGGCCTGTTTTCCTAATTTTAATGTTTTCCTAATTTCCAAAAGGGAATGTTATTATTCTTATGGGGAGATTACTTTCAGAGAGAAAGAGGGTTTAGAAGTCAGCCTGGCCTGAACACCCACTCTCCTGGTCCCGACTAGTGGTATAATCTCAAGCAGTGGTCTACCTCTGAGTCTCAGTTTTCCCATCCAGAGAATGGGCTGGCCTTCCCTTAGTGTGGACACTAGTACGGATGATTGGGAGAGCGAATACAAGCCCCAGTGTGCTGAGTCAGATGCTCAGCCAAGGCTCTCTTCTGCCACACAGAGGTTTTATGAGTGACTGGAACCCAGGACGGGGTGTGGCTATGGGCCGGGCTAAGATATGGATCCTACCCATATCCCCTCCCCCTGGCATCCACCTGTGTAAGGCAGGAAGGCTACCAGCCTGTCACTTCCAACCAGGCCCGGATAGCCCAGCCTCTCTTCCCCTCCTGCCCCTCCGCTCTGTAGCCCGGCTCTGCTTACCTGTTTGAATGTCGCCTCTACCAGGTTGGCCGGGAACATGTTCCTGGGAAGAGAGGAGTGGGCAGCAAGTTAGGATTTCCAGTGCCCGGACAGGAGGCCTCTGGGGGTCAGAACCCGCCCTGGCACCCCTGCTTCCCTGGCTGCTTGACTGCTGGGCAGATCTGCACATTCTCCCTCGCTAAGCGTCTGACCCCTGGGCAGTCCTGTGTGATGGAAACTCATAGATGGTCATCCTCCTATGAGACGGCGTCTGAGAGGCAAGTCTCCATTCGTCCCCTCTATCCTTTTGTTTGTTTGTTTTTTGAGATAGGGTCTCACTATGTGGCTGGCCTGGATCTCACTATGTAGACCAGGCTGGCCTCAAACTCATAAAGATCCACCTGTTTTGACCTCCCAAGTGCTGGGACTAAACACGTGTGTCACCACACCCACCTGGCTTCCCCTGTATCTTTGACAACCTTGGTATATGCGTGGGCCTGACTCAGACTGGACACCCAAGTGAACCCATCATGGCCATCCCCTCCTTGGTTCAGAGATTGGCCCGAGAGCCTCCCCAGGGCCCCAGTTTGAGGATGTTGTGTTAGGAGACATTAAGACGGCACAGCGTGTGAATGGCCCGTGCACATGCCCATCCTGCTGGGCTGTCAGTCATCTCTGGCACTGCATGCCTGGAGCCAGGAGTGTGGTGGGAGGAGCTGCTGTGCTCCCTGGATGGGACAACGACAAGAAAACAGCACGGTCCGTGCACATGCACTGTGCTCCCTAAAAGCTTTGACCAGCAGTTGGTTGACTCCATGGATACAAAACTCACACCAGTGGAGAGTTTAGAAGTCAGCCTGTCTTATTAATATTTATTTTAAGGCTGAAGGTAGAGGGGCTCTTGTCCTTCCAGGTATGAAAATATACTAGACAAGTCTAATTGTTGTCAACTAATGCACCACACACACAACAATACGGCAACCCACACCATAGAGCCCGGAGCACAGGGTAGAACCTCAGTGGCTAAGCATTTCATTTCTGCTGTCGTTTTGGCCTTATTGTTGTTGTTGTGTATGTGTGTGTGTGTGTTGTGTGTGTGCACAGCTGAGTATCCTGGCATGTGTGGAGGTCAGAGAATAACTTTTAGGGGTCAGTGCTCTCCTTTCACCTTTATGTGGGTTCTAGGAATCAAACAGGTTGTCAGGCTTGTATGGCAAGCACCTGATGAGCTGGCTTGTCAGCTTATCTATCATCCATCTATCTATCTGTCTGTCTGTCTGTCTACCTACCTATCATCTATTTATCTAATTATCATTTATATATCTAATTATCCATCTACCTATCATCTATCTACTTACCTGTTATCTATCTATCTATCTATCTATCTATCTATTTATCTATCTATCATCTAATTATCTATCTATCTATCATCTAATTATCTATCTACCTATCATCTATCTATATACCTATAATCAATCAATCAATCTATCTATCTACCTATTTACCTATCTAACTATAGACTTGGTCTCACCATGTACCACAGGCTGCCCCCAAACTTGCCATCTTCCCAAGTGCTCAGATTACAGGTGTATGCTACTGTGTCCGACCAACAAGTACTCATATTTGGGAAAGCTGTTTCATAAGCCAGTGAGGAGTTAAAGGATTCACTATTAGAACTGAATAACTGACCAGCCACTCTGAAAAGTTGTTCACTTTGTTATTTAATGTCTTCCACCAAAACAAATTCCACTTGACTTCAAGACATAATTTTTCCAAATGAAACAGTAAGAATCTAGAGGAGAACAGGTTAAGATTTTATAACCTCCTGAACATGGAAGACCCACTAAGAACTAAGTGGACAGACAGCTCAACTGATTTTACTCATTGAAAAGAAGAAATTCCTCAGTAAACTCTGCCATCCTGGCTTGGATCCCGGAACAGAAAAGGGTATTAATGGAAAAATTAGTGATATTCAAACTGGAATGGTGGCACAGGCCTGCAGCCCAAGCACTGGAGTGGTGGAGGCAGGAAGATCAGGAGTTCACGCACCCTCAGGTATCTAACGAGTTCAAAACCCGTCTGAGCTGCCTGAACCCCTGCCCAAAAGACCGAGCAGACCAGGTCTATAGTGTAGTTCAAGGTGGCCCAGTTCCACTCCTTAGTTTACAGAAGATGCTAACGTCTGAGTCCCTGGTGACGGTAGGTAGGATTTCTTTTCTTTGCTACCCTCTGAAAATCTAAAAATTATACCAAAATGACAATCTGGGGAATAAACAAGATGCCTCATAAGGTTACAATGCAAATGAAATTATAAAATAAATGCTAGATAAGGTGGGGCATCTCACTGGCCAAAGTTATCATCTGGAACTTAAAATGTTTTCAATAATCCCTCTGTCTTCATCGTCACCAGCTGTCCCCGCTCACGAGATCTCAGATCCCCAGAGGGCAGGGCATTTGTTCTTTTTTTCTGCTTTGTTTCTGGAAGAGAGCCCCACACATAGTAGGCACTCTAAAAATATTTGCTGCTTAAACAAATGGGTCACAAGACAGTAACACTTCAATAGACGAAGACAGGAAGATATACCCAGCAATTCACTTCACAAAAGAAGATATGCAAATCGCCAAAACCATTTTTTTAAAAGTTCTGTACAATGGCAGTGCACACACTGGGGAGGTGAGGGAAGCGGGTGCCTTCAGGTGGTCCTGCAAGGTCCTTTCTGTAAGTGATTTATCAAGACACTCCCACCTCTGCCCTCCAGGCTCCTTCTAGGAAGGTTACAGGCTGGAGATGCTAACAGCCTCTCATTCAGGTTTCCCCGGAATGGGCTGTGATGGCTGTGATACTGCGCCCCCCACCCCTGCAAGCCCCACCTCCACCCTCGCCACCCCACACTGTCTCCCTGGCTCTCCCTCACTCACTTGCTTGGCAATTCTCCTCTTTGCAGATTCAGCTCACACATGAGTGAAGCTGCGCACGTGGACATGAGTGTGCTTCGTTTCTTAAGCCTCCTCCCCTGCGGCTGTGCCCAGAAGCGGCGGCTGCAGTGTTTGTACGCCTGCCTTTAAGATTCAGGCTTCATAGACACATCTGGCCGGAGGAGGTGGGGGAGGAGCTACCCAGGCAGAGGCTGGCAGGGAGCCTTCTGTGACCTGCAGTCATTCACCCGTCCCCCAGGGGTCTCAGTTTTGTCACCAGGGAGGGGAGAAGCAGAGGTCAGGAGCTGGAATTCCTTTGGGTTGGAAGCTAATGTCTGCCATCAGATTGCACTGATTGCCTAACAGTGTGAAAATCTTGGTCAAGAGCCCCCAAGAGGCTCAAGGAACTTAGAAGGTGGTCAGCCTTAAAGACTCTAGCCCAGGAAGAACTAAAAAGCCAAGTGCGTACATTTCTTCGAGACTTCTTTTAGCTTGAGGTCACTTTGCAAGGGGGGCCATGGCAGAGCAGGCTAGCTGCCACCCGGGCGTGTTCTCCTTTCCTTGCTTATGTAGACCTGTTAGGGTGACAGATCCATGGGACCTGTCCGTCAAACCCCGATTCCATCCTAAAGAGGAAGTCGCTAAAGCCCATCCCTAAAGAATAGTTTTAAATGCTGTGACCCTCTAATACAGTTCCTCATGTTGTGGTGATCTCCAACCATAAAATTATTTCATTGCTACTTCGTAACTGTCATTTTGCTACTGTCATGCATCGTAATAAAATTTTTTTAGAGATAGAGTTTTGCCAAAGGAATAGCGATCCGCAGGTTGAGAACCACTGGTCTAGAACCCTTGTGTCCTTTCCTCCAATTTTCTTCACTCTTCCAGGAATACAGATGAAACAGCTGGAGCTTGAACCGCCTTCTTGGACCATGAGACATACTGATGATGAGATCCAGGAGCTAAACACAACCAAGTACACAGGCGGCCAAGTTGAGATCCTGGGGATAAGGAACGGCCCACTTCTAAGAAAAAGCTTTCCCTCGGCGAAGTCCCCGGGGCCTTGGGACTCTCTTAACAAGCAGCCAGTGCAGGTCTCAGCTGAGATACAGACTCATCTTGGTCAACTGACAGACTCAGTTAAGATCTGTACTTTTGGGTGGTGGTGGTGCACGCCTTTAATCTCAGCAAATGGGAGGCAGAGGCAGGTAGATCTCTATGAATTAGAGGCCAGCCTGGTCTACAGAGTGAGTTCCAGGACAGCCAAGCCTACACAGAGAAACCCTGTCTCAGGAAACAAAACAAACAATAGTAGAAACAACAAAAAACCACCACCATCACCACCACCACCACCAACAAAACAAAACCAAAACCAGTACTTTTGACTGTTAATTGGGGAAATGCCCATTTTCTGTTGGTTTTGAACTCTTATGGAAAAACCCCTTCTTTATCCCATGAGGCCTGTGCCTGGTAGCAGCTACCTGAAGCATAGACAGACCTGCAACTCCCAGCAGCTGGCCTGGGCTCCCTGCCGAGGCTGCCATCCTATCTGCTGATGGTTCCACACTCCCAACCTGTGACCCCCACCAAGGCCCGAAGGTGGGAATTGCTCCTTTTCAAGAGTAGCCCCTGTGAGGTTCATCCAGCCTTCAGGATGCTAACGGGGAGCCCCAAATGGAGCCAAGTTATTACTTAATCTCTGTGGTGTTTTAATAAGGTGGAAAAAGGAGCAGCCAGCTCTGATTAGCACTCTGCTCAGACGTCCCGAGGCCGCACTGGGAGCCAACGTCAGGGCACTGACTTGGAGCCCTGGGAAATGAATTAATGATTTGGCAGGTCAGCCAGGGACACGGCCTGCAGTAATCTGAAATCATCTTTGAGACACGAGCACACATCTTCGCCTTCTTAGTGGCGAGCCCCAGGGCTGTGTCTCTGTGTGACTAGTCTTTTGTCTTTCTGACTTTTCACTTTGTCACTTGTGTCCCCAGGTCCCCAGGGTCTCCGTCCTGGTCACACATGTTCTCGTTCTGACAGCAGCATTTAGCAGATGCCTGCTCTGGGCCCCTCATTTCCTCCCAGAGTTCCAGAAAGCAGTGTCTGTGTGCCTTCCTCCTCTGACTTTTGGGGATGGTGGTTGGTCCTGATGGGGGCACTCATATTTGTTCCTCGAGTTCTGGGCACAGTGTCTCACCCTGAGACTTGAAGGTGGGCTGCCTCCCCGGACATCCTGTGCCTCCTGTCTGCCCTCCCTGCTCCAGTTCACCCTTTCCAACTTCTCCAGTTCTTATTTCTGGTGGTAGGGATTAAACCTAGAACCTCATTAAACCTAGATACCTGTACCCTGTCACTGAGCTCTGCCCCAGGCCCGGCATTCCATGTTTGAGGTCTGAAAGTCAACCCAGACCTGGCATTTACAGTGTTTGAGGTTGATTTCCGCCAATGTCGCCCCATTACTCATCCCCAGAAGCTTGTGCTTGCTGGCTGTGGGCCTTGTGTGTGCAGTTATAGAGCAGAGTGGGCCCTGGAAAGAGACCCACCTACTCAAGGTCACGGTGGCTTCTGGTGGGCGGGAAAGGAGGTAAGACCTCGCGTATCGAAGGTGGTGGTTCAGCACCCAGGAAGCATGTCCCCTTCCCTGCAAGCCCCCACCCCTATCCCACAAAGATGTGGTGTCAGTGGTACCCAGCCACACAGCTCTCCAGAGCCTCAGGGCAGAAGGACTGACTTCACCATGGGAGAAGCCACCAGGAGCAGACGAACGCTGGAACATCTGACTCTAACACAAGTGTGGGACCCAGAGCCTGGCAGCCCTCAGCAGGGGAAGGCGAGTGGGGAGGGCTGGGCTCGCCACACATCAGCTGCTCTTGCCACCCTGTGGAAAAGCTGTCTTGAATCATAGGGTCCGAGGAATGATGGATCACAGGAGCATAATCCTAGAAACAACAGCTCTTAGAAGGAGGCTTCTCAAAATCCTGCTTTCCTTGGCCTCCAGGACACCTGCTCTCCCACGGTTCCTCCCGCCCCTGTTGGCTCTAGGCAGCCCGCAGATTTGCCAAGGACCAAGTCCTCTGGGCTCCTGGGCACAAGCTTCTCCTGAATGGCAGAGGCTCCTCTGGAGACTTGGGCCCCAAGTGCTCGGTCGGTGTGACAACCTTGTACATGAGGCATCGGCTATGACACATGCTTGTCTAGGCTCCAGGACAGGCCTGTGACAAACTGTCACCTCCAGGGGCGGGGAGGGTGACAGGAAGAAATAAAGAAATCTGAGGATGTAACTGTGTCAGATAGTGAGAGAGCTCTGGCAGAAAGACTCAGCCAAGGGAAGATAAAAAGAACTTCACAGCAGGGCGTTGGCCCAGAGCAGAGCCCCCAGCAATGTGCAGAGTAGAGTCGTGCTCACTCGCCAGAAAAGGCCAGGCAGAGAGGCGGGGACAGCAGGAAGGACAGGACACACAGGATGGGACAAGGTTGGTTGAGGCTGGTGTGGCTAGAGTCAGGAGAGGAGTGGAGCCCTGAGGCTCTGTGGGAGGCTACAGAGAGGGAAGGAGGTGTTGTGACGGCTGCAAGCCACAGAGACCACAGAGACCGCGGGAACAGCTTGTAAGCCAGCCATGGGCACCAAGGAGACCGCATGTAGTGAGCCATGGACACTGAGGGGACGGCTTATGGGTGAGCCATGGACACCAAGGGGGCTGCGTGTAGTGAGCCATGGACACCGAGGGGACAGTTTGTGGGTGAGCCACGGACACCGAGGGGACAGTTTGTGGTTGAGCCACGGACACCGAGGGGACATTTAAAGCCATGGTGTGGGATGTCTCATCACCTGGCTTACAAGAGCTTCGTGCTTCACTTCCAGCTCCTCAACCTTCATGGTAAGAAAATGCCCAGGCCAGCTTCTCCTCACAGTAAGGAATGCCACTGTTCTGAGAAAACAGGGCTGGCCTTGAAGCACTGACAACAAGCAGCCTATAGAACTGTCTCTGCCAAGCCATCCCAGCCCCCTGTTATCCAGACCACTAACCTCCTGCAGACCCTGACTGGGCTCAGTCTGAATCTGCAGACCCTTCCAGCTGACTGCAGACCCCAGTTTGACATTTCAAGCCCATTTGTGCAGGGTGTTTGTTACACAGCTGCAACTGACTGACACATAGGATCAGCATTCCTACAGAGAGCGAGGATGCTCTCTCATCGGGTCCCAGGGGGGAGGAAAGAATCTTCCTCTCTAGCACCGATCCACGAGAAAGACTCAGAGACCTGGCTCTGTCCCCCAGGATCTGAGGAATGGAGAAACTTGTGCCTGACTCATCTCCAAAGGCCTTGGGAAAGGTTTGCACTTCCAGCAAAGATAAATATACTTTCCATGTGTCAGCCGTGGCTCTTACAGAATGGATACTAACTGAGAGGGTTGAGCAGAGATCTTGAGTGAAGAAAGCATTGTAAGTGTGCTCAGATGAAACAAGAATTATTTTAGCAGGGAGCCCAGTGCTAGGAGGGCTAGAACCTGTGAACATACTGGAAGAAAAACAGCCAGGGAATGTCTACAGCAGTCCACTCATGCCCAGGAAAGTGGGCTACTGTGTGTCCTCCTATTAGAGTGTAATAGGTGGAATATCCTGTGTACCCTCCTATTAGAGTGTAATAGGTGGGATATCCTGTGTACCCTCCTATTAGAGTGTAATAGGTGGAATATCCTGTGTACCCTCCTATTAGAGTGTAATAGGTGGGGTATCCTGTGTACCCTCCTATTAGAGTGTAGTAGGCCGGGCAGACAAATCAGAAACTTCCCACAACAGTTCCCCAAACCAGAACCAGATCCCGTAAGGAGAGCACTGGATTTGTGTCAAATTGGTGAATCTGGGGTTTTGGTATTAGATAGGCAGGGACTTACGTCTTAGACTGATTAGAAGGTGAGAGGAACCCATGCAGCAAGTCAGCCAGTGGAGTCTACCAGGCTGCAGTAGTTTGAATGAAAATGGCCCCCATAGGCTCATAGGGAGTGGCATTATTTGAAAGGATTAGGACGTGTGGCCTTGTTGGAGTAGGTGTGGCCTTGTTGGAGTGGGTGTGGCCTAATTGGGGGAAGTGTGTCACTGGGGGTGGACTCTGAGGTTTTAGGAGCTTAAACCAGGCCCTGTGTCACTCTCTCTTCCTGCTCTCTGTCCACCCAGATCTAAACCTCTGTTACCTTGCCAGCACCATGTCTGCCTGCATGCCACCATGCTTCCCACTACGATGATAATGGATTAAACCTCTGAAACTGGAAGCCAGCCCAGTTAACTGTTTTCCTTTATAAGAGTTTCTGTAGTCATGGTGTCTCTTCACAGCAATAAAACCCTAAGACACGGGTCATTTCCAGTATGATGTTTGTACAGGGCCTGTCCAGCACTGACACACTCCTATGTCCTGAGCTAAGCCTTCCGTCCTCAGGGCCACTTGCTTTTCCTTAACTTCAAATTCTCCATCTTCAGCTTGGATCTACCCAGGAGACTCAGATTCTCCTGTGGCAGGTTTGTGCCTGCTCCAGAACTTTCCTCTGGCTTGGACATCACATGTTATCCATTCAGGTGCTTGGGCCACAGCCGGCAGCACCCTCCCCGCCCACCCTTACTCCCTCTCATGCTTCGGGCTCCTGATGGTGCTCCTGCTAACCATGCCAGTTTTCCCAATCCCACCCAATGACCATCACCCTGTGCCATCCCAGGCCTGCCTTCCTCTCCTGCCCTGCTCGACTCTGGTCCATAGCCTCTCTGGTGGTGGGGGGAGCCTTCTACATTGAACTATGCCACTCCTGTGTTTGAAAGTTATGATTTGGGCAGGGACTGTGTTCAACCGCAGAGCATTTGTCCAGCATGCAAAAGACCCTGGGCTGGATCATCACCACTGCAGAAATAAGTTGAACTTGCTTCCTGTGGCCTTTAAAAGTGGGCTTGCATGCCATGGTCTCTCTCTCCTGAGAGAGAGACTCCTCTAGAGTAGGGCAGGGTGGAGGCTGAGCCTCCTGATCCAGGCCTGGGCCCAGGGCTGGCACTGGCAAGGGCCAGGAGGGTAATTGACAGGCAGGGAGCAGGCTCAGGTCCATGGAGCTGAAGTGGCTCCACAAAGGCACTGTCCTGAGTGCCAGGCAGCCTGGATGAAGTCCTGGTGCCTCACCTCCCTGCTAGATAGACTGGGAAAGCCACACAGCTTCTTTGGGTCTTGTTTTCTCATTTAGGGCAAAGGGGCCAATAGAGGAAAGGAGGGATCATAGCTCCTGGCCTCCTGCCTTGCAGGCTGGGTGGCGCAACAGCTGTGGGATCAGTCAGCTCATAGCCCTTCTCAGCCTGGTGTTCCCCCACCTGCCCCCAACCCCATGGAGGTGGCAGAGCAGAGCCTAGCAGGCAGCCCGAGGGCGGGGGACAGGGAGTATTCACCACCCATGTCCGTGTACTTGAGGGTCACAAGGCTCATCCTACTCCAAGTTGCCACATGTAATAAAGAGCTGACCTGAGTCCCATACTCTGTATACCCTCTGGAGGCCACTCAGGGGACCTGTGCCAGGCCTGGGGATGCCAAGAGTATATGGACGGAGCATTACCGGACAAGGTCCAGCAGGGCATCAGCTGAGCTCATGACTGGCTTCCCGCTTTGCTCGGTCATCTCTTTCTGTGCCGCACCGCCAGGGTGGATAACGGAGACCATGATGATGCCCACGACAACAGCCAGAAAGGTTGTCCACAGGTAGTATGCCACAGTGAGGATGCCCAGGCGGCTGGAGGTCTTGGCATCCAGGGAGGCAAGGCCGGACATCAAGCTGGAAGGTAAGGTGGGTCAGGTTCATGAGAGGCACAAGACTTTGGCCATAGACTCTGGTGTGCTCACTGGGGTCACTCTCCACTGAGCCCTGTGCCATGATGCGCTTCAGGAAGTCTCCCTCTGGGACTTCTGGTCACGAGGCTCCTAACCTCCCTTGCTCTGTTCTCTCTCTCTCTCTCTCTCTCTCTCTCTCTCTCTCTCTCTCTCTCTCTCTCTCTGAAACCTGGGTCTCCAGTCCAGTCCATGACACCTCTAGATCCTTACATATGCTGTTCCCTCTGCATGACACCTCACAGAAGCCCCTTTTACTTGCTCGACTCCTCACGAGACAGGACCAGGCCATGTCCCTTCTACAACAAAGTCCTTTCACATGGCCAATGGTAGGGGCCTGTCCTAGGGCTCCCTCAGCCTCTTCTCTCATGACCTGGTTGTCACAGTGTACTTACCTGCCTAATGCAATCACAAGACTCAGTGCCCATGAAAGGGACAGGTCTGACTTCTCTGTGGGTCCCCAATGCCCATAGTACCGGCTGACAGGAGTGGGTGGCCACTACAGACTTCCTGAAGGAGCTAATGAGTAAGGGAGAGACAGGAACCTAGCCTGCAGGCCGGCGAAGCGACCGCTAACAAGCCAGTCTTCCTTCCATTGAGGGGTCCCAGATCCCCCACTCCACCTCCAGAGTGCACCTGATCCCCACCATCCCCGTGCTGAAGGCCTCTCTGCTTCGAGGGAGGGAGTCGAGAGATTAATTATAGAAATGTCTGCACTTTGTTCCACTGCCAAAAGGATTTTCCTCCAAAGCCCTTTCGTTCTTTCAGATAAAGGAAGTATTTGTCTGGTTTTAATCATGTAAACAAGAGCAGATAATCCGCCTTATTCCTCCTGTTCTCCCCCGTGTCAGCCTGATAGCCAGCAGCAGCTAGCGCCCACCCTGTAGAACAGAGCCTATCCCTGAGACCTGAGCAGTTCTGCTTGGCTGTGGGCATGGACTGTCCCTCCCAGTAAGCCCAGGGCAAAGGTCCCTCCTCCTGGAGGCCTCTCATGATGCCTAGCCTCCTCTCCTGGTCCCTGTGGTTTCTTCTGTACCCACCCTATTTCTTTGAGTTGTTATAAGGTGCCCCTGACAGGATAGGCTGGGGACACAAGGTACATGAGCAAACCTGGGGGTAGGCCCAGAATATGGCTCCATGACTGGCAGCCAGGGAGGCAGGAAGAAAGGAAGGAAGGAAGGAAGGAAGGAAGGAAGGAAGGAAGGAAGGAAGGAAGGAAGGAAGGGCTGCACAATTTCATTTCTCCTCCTCTGCCAGGACGCCATATGTTAGTGATGGGCTTAGGGTTGGTCTCGGGCATAAATCGCAAAGGCCAGTAATGGGATTGTCAGCAGAGGAAACGAGGCTCTGGGACCATTATCCACGGAAGATTACCTCTGCCTTCCCTCAGCAGAACTGTGGTGAAGCCCACCTGCTGTGGGCCATAAGGAAGCCAGACCCTGAGAGAGGATCCCCCCCAATTCACCCACACTAGTGTCCTGCTGGACCAGACCTCAGGCCAGCTGTGGGCCCGTCTGATTTGGTGTCTGGATCCTGTCCCTGTTACTCTGGCAGGAAGCAGGGAAATGGCAGACAAGAACACCAAGACACAAGGGGACACAGAGCTGCACAGTAAGGAAGGTGACAATGGAGGGTAATTTCTATTAGGGAGAGAGCACCAGCTAAGACAGTAGGGAAGGGCTTCCTGGATGTGGCGGCATTGGAGCCATTTCCTCCAAGACAGGGACAATTTAGAGATGGGGCCAACGGAGTGGATGGCAGAAGGCAACAGGAGATTTTAAAGTGTGGGGACACTGGGCTGCTCAGGGAGGTAGCTCGGGGTCTGTGTGAGGTGTGGTAGGTAGCCTTGAATGGTGAGCCAATGGGACTCGGGGGCACCAAGAGGTGCTGAGGAGAGGGAGCAACCATTGCTTCCCAGGTACTGTGTCTTAACAGTTTCTGCCCTATAGGGAGACAGAGGACAGAACAAAAGATTCTCAGGATTGAAGGTTCCGAGACAAGCTGTGAATCCCCTGAAGCCACCGAAATGGGCAGAGGCAATATTTTGGACCTCGAGATAAAAAGATGTTTGTGTCTAGCTGTGCTGGGCAGCCGCCATCAGGGACAGACCCACCCCTGGAAAGACTATCCTAATGAAACCACCGTGAAGTGGAAAGGAGCTTCAGCTTCAGGGAGCCCAGAGCGTCTCGGGGAAACAGACCCCTCTCTGACTTGCAGCCCAGACTTATAGCTCGAAGGATTGTGGGTGGGGCATGACGAGAATCGGATCTCCTTAGGACCACAGCTCTTGAGGAAGGGGCCCAGTGAGGCGGTACCAACTTGGATACCTAGCTGTGGGAGGCAGAGAGGAAATGCAAATGTAGTTGGAGCTTGGGGGCACTGTGGCCCCACCCCAGAGAGCACCGTTGTCTGAAAAGACCCGGATGAGAGCCAAGAGAGTAGGCAGCTCTCCTGGCCGGCAGTGACCACCAAGACAGGCAGGAGAGTGCCGGGAGAACACAGACCCTGGGTGAGAGCGGCGGCACTCCTTAAACAGGTGGGCGCAGAAATGGGGTGGAAATGTCTACCATTTGGTTTTGGGGTTCCTCCTGCTGGGTAGTACCTTTAGAACTGAGAGTTTAGGACAGTGGTTCTCAACCTCCCTGATGCTGACCCTCTAATCCAGTTCCTCATGCTGCGGTGACCCCAACCATAAAATTATTTTCATTGCTACTTCGTAAGTGTCATTTTGCTACCATTATGAATCATAATAGAAGCATCTGATATGAACGCTATCTGATATACAACCCCTGTGAAAAGGTTTTTTGGCCCGAAGGGGTTGTGACCCACAGGCTGAGAACCTCTGCTTTGGAACTTGGGAGGGTGTTAAGCCTTGTGGATGCTTGCTCGCTCGATGGCTTGCTGGCTTGCTCGCTCGCTAGTGCATGTAACTGAATAAAGAGAGCAGTAGACTGTGGAGGGGGAGGGGCCACTGGCATTTTGTTGTTGTTGTTGTTTGTTTTTGTTTTTTTTCCTGTTTCTCCATATTCTCTCTTATGTCCAGAACAAGTACGTCTTGTGTGGTTGAAGGCACAGCCCCAGGCTTTCTGCCTGACAGACACGGGAGCTACAGTGTGCCAGGAGCTTTTCCACTCCCCAAAGACTTGACTGTCTGCCTCATTCCATGGCTCAATAGCCTTGTGTGGCACCCTGAGGAGTCCCCAGGTCGGACCCATTTGTCATTTAGATTAGCTAATAGTTATCTTTTTTTATTTTTTTTAAATTTTGAGAGACTGGCCTTAAACTCCACACTCCCCTTTCTCCACCTTCCAAGTGCTAATTTAGAAAAGTTCAGAGAGGCAAAGTCAGCCCAGGCCACATAGTGAAGCTCTATCTCCAATAAAAAAAAAAAAAAAAACTTAAAAGGAACGATGGAGTCTGTTTAATAATACTTTAACCCAGGATATCCAACCACTGCCACGCATAATCCATGTGAAATGTTTTATGCTGCTCAGGCTTTACATTTTAATTAAAATTAGTGGATGACTCAGTATTTATGCACTGGCTGCCTTTCAGGTACTTGCTGGGCTAGGGGCTGTCATATTGGGCAGTCGGGGGGGGGCAGCTGCACATAAGGACAATGGAGCTCAGACTGGAGAGAGGCCAGGCTACTCAAGAAGTAAGTTCTAGAATCAAGACTGGATTAGGGGTTCCTGACCCCTCTCTCCAGTGTTTCTTGGTAATAGGTCAGGTCCTGGTCTTAGGCCCAGTTGGGGAAGATGACTGTCATGTGAGCCAGCCCATGTGATCCTTTCTCAGTTCAGTTCTCAGAGCTCTTACTTGTCCATAGTTATAGCCTATAGATTTGTGGTAGTGAGTGTTATGGTTTTGGTCCTTTTAAGAGATCTAATCTGCTTTTTATTATAAGGAAGACCTGGGAATGTTATGGTATTGGTCCCTTTAAGAGACAAGCCACGCCCACTCCCCTCCACCACCCGCTGAGGCAGGCTGATCTTCAGCTTCAGGCCTGAGCTTGCTCTCTTTTCCATCTTCCTCTCGAAGAGGCAGCTTCGCTTCTGCCTCTCTCCCCACTTCTCTGCTTCCCCCCTTCTCTGTCTCTTTCTTCTCTCTCTCTCTCTCTCTCTCTCTCTCTCTCTCTCTCTCTCTCTC